GTTACTGCTGTCCTCTACGGATCCCTCTTGGGCCAGGAGTCTGGTAACTCCATTGTCGATGTCCTCTACGGAGACGTGAACCCTTCTGGCCGCCTCATCCACACCATCGCCAAGAACGAGAGCGACTACAACGTCAAGATCTGCTACACAGCGCAGTGTGACTTCACCGAAGGTAAGCAGCTCAACACATTATTCTTCCCCACATCCTCGCACGTACTTACACATAAATCCTCATAGGCGTCTACCTCGACTACCGCTACTTCGACGCCTACAACGTCACCCCCAGATACCCCTTCGGTCACGGTCTCTCCTACACCACCTTCTCCTACTCCGACCTGAGCATCGAAAAGCCCTCCACCCTATCCAAGTATCCCACTGGCGAGCAGACCGTCGGAGGACACAGCGACCTCTGGGATATTGTGGGAAGCGTCTCCGTTAAGGTCGCCAACACCGGCTCGCTCGACGGCGCCGAAGTCCCCCAGCTCTACCTCGGATTCCCCACTGCTGCGCAGCAACCCGTTCGCCAGCTCCGTGGCTTCGAGCGCGTCGAAATCGCTGCTGGCAAGCAGAGCGAAGTTACCTTCAAGCTGCGCCGTCGTGATATTTCCTACTGGGATGTCCGCGCCCAGCAGTGGCTTGTTGCTTCGGGTGACTACAAGGTCTACGTGGGTGCAAGCTCGCGTGATCTGAAGTTGAATGGCACTTTTGCTGTCCAGTCTTCGTCTTAGATGTAAATTAGAACTGGGAGGGCTGGAACCTTTTGTCTCTTCTTGATGGATAGCGGATATATTTTTTTCTAAGTGATGTATATAGCGGCTATTCCATTCCTGTTGATTAGGACTTTTCCACCCTTGAATGATTGTTGAAATGTACTTTTTTTTTTCGGAATTACAATAATCACAATCAAACAGCCACAGAGTAGACAGCTCTTGTTACTACTATAATTAGGGTTTCAAGACTTTTATTCTTCATGTTCCATAACAAGCTTGACCGTTAACCTACTTTACCTCAGATCATATCAATCATAACTCAGAAGAAGCTACATGTTGCCGACCAGAGAAGCATACATCTACAACAAACTGTAATATTACAGCTTGGCTCCTGGCTTCTCTGCCTTCGTGACCCAAAGGAGCAGCTCATCTTTCCCAAACTCCTCCATAACTTCCACTGGTAGGTTCACGCGGACTTCCCAAATGCTCTCTCCTCGCCTAGCGGGATTTCTGTCAGGTAAGATCAGAGTCAACCCATCAGTTCGACCGTCGATACTATCAAAGTCCAGCAGTGGCCCCAGTTTCGTACCCCAGTCCGAGGCATAGATGTCAGTTTTCCGCAAGCTGGACATTATGACCTCCGCAGGGGCACCAGAAACTGATGAGAAGTCATCGCACTCTTCCACACGGCCTATGAGACCGCGAATTTGCTCGTCTTGAATGGACTTGCATTTGGCTCGAGACCTCAGGGCTAGTTTGAGTAGTGCGTTGATTGTTTCTTTGTCCATTCGCTCTCGCGTTACAGGAGGGGCTTCCTGTGGAGTAGGGATATCTTTCCACTCGCACTGGGTTTTCGCTAACACGAGGCTATTCCCCAGGTAGCTTCTTGGAAGAGGAGGCTGGAGTACTGATCGAACCTCTATATTCCTGGATAAAGAGGATACGCGCGGTAAGTCTGACGAATGCTTGGAAGCAACTCGACGACGAGCGCGGGATACAGAGAGCCATGCTAGAGCAGTTACCAGATCGTCATTTGAGATGTTTTCTAGTTTGTACTGGCTTCCAGTTGGTGGGACTTTCTGTGATGTTGAATGGCCCTTGGCAAGCTCATGGGCTAGATCGTTGCACGAATTTTTGAGGTAGTTGACTCTGTCTGTATGCAAAGTATAACGACGACAGATGATTGAGTCGGACTGGCGTCCACGTATCTCCTCATAGCTAGTCTCACAGTATGCATCCTTGAGGTCGGGGTTGCTGGCGGTGGCAGATTGGTTGATCCTCCTCCTTGCCTGCTCTTCTTTATCGAGGTCCATCGGAAGACGTCTGGCATCGCCGCTCTTTCGATTCGATCCAGAGCAGGATCGAGACAAAGCGTGCAAAACTATGGTGACGCCTAGCGAATCCATTACCTGGTGATGCCAGGCGAGGCATAAAATGAGTCCGTCTTGCATGACATTGGCCTGAAACCGCACAGCAGGTATGGGGTTGGAATTCGAGAGTGTCTTCGGAACGTTTAGCATTTCATAATCGATGACTGGCGAGGCTAAAGCATCTGAAATGGTGTGTTGATGGTGTTTGACACGTAACAGGGGGCATTGGAGGAGGTCCGATGTCGTCGGTGGCTGCAACTCGGTGACGTTTCTTCTTTTCTCCTTCTGCACCATCGCAACATTGCCAGCCAAGAATGGCCACTGGGATATCAAGTCTGATAGACCCGATTCTAACGCATCAACTGCTTCAGACGGCTGTTCAGGCCGAAAAGACATATAAGCGAACACATGATGAGGAGGGAGCAGGTGGTCCAGAGGCGTGAGGGTATAAGGCTGGAACGACGGAGTATGAGTTCTGGCGGTCATTTTGTATACCGAAGAATCACACCAAGTGTTGTGAAGGGATGGGCCCTTGAGATCCTATATATAATAACGCCGTGGAGTGAACAAAACTCGAAAACCTATTCGTTTGAAGATAGAAACTCAATTAAACTTACGCGCAGATGATGGCATCTTAAGCTTTCAATTTAACGTCCTGTAGCCAGGTTCCGTCTGTATGTATGAACAGGTTTCTTCAGAGTTAGAGGAGGCCATAGCATGTAGATAATGATTGTCATGTTCCGCCCACTGTCCGTTTTATGTATGTGGCTTGTAGATAGCCAGTTGATGATAGGTAAGTTGTCGTCTGTAAGTGTATCCCACAATTATAGTAGGTAGAAGTGAACATGGTAGAGGTGGAGTATGGTAAGGTTTTGTGTCGGGAAATGTTCAATTGAGGAATTGATATCTTTTGAATTTACACATTTGACCAAGTTTCAGACTCAGCGAATGTATAGTTCTGGTTCCATTGATAACTTCGTGATGCAGTCAGTATACCTGGGTGCTCATTGTTGATCTCGTGCACACTTGAACTAGAGGTAGTCGCGATAGCTCATTCGCCAAGCCAAAGCGTGACTGCATAGAAGCGGCTTGTTTCATTATAATTTGCTCCACTATAGGGGTTAATACCTTGATTTTAGAGAGAGTGATGGTTTTCTTAGATGGTGGGGAGTTTTTCGATTCTAGAATCCAGACGATGCAACATCGTATCCCAAAAGGGACCCCGACATCATGACTCAGCAGAATAACCCTCTTTCACCAAATAACTATTAGCTAGCTATAAAACTCAGGAACTTTGAGATACACTCAATTGAAGGCAAATTCGAGCTTGAATCTTATGCAAATAAAAGCAACATGTCCGACAAAGACCTCCTCAACATCGTATCCCAAGAACTCACCGGGACTCGGTATGCCTCGTCCTCTCTAACCCCACTAAGCGGGGGAACCGCCAACTTTGTCTATCGAGCTCAGCTCGATCAACCGCTCCCAGATGGAACAAAATCCGTTATAGTAAAGCATACGGAGGCATTCATTGCCCTTAATCGGGAATTTAAACTCCCGGCTGAGCGCTGTGTTGGTATCCCCTTGTGAAGTCAAACAGACTACAAACATTGAGTTAACATATTTCATATAGCTTTTCGAGGAATCCATCTTGAAGGCCCTTGATGGATTCTCTAGCATACTTGACACCACCAAGGAGTCTGAAGCACACGCTAAAGAAGTGATGGTCAAAACGCCTCGTCTCTTCTCATTCAATCGCGAAACCAACACTGCTGTTATAGAAGATCTTCCCGATTCTCTGGACCTAAAGTCCTTCCTAATCTCCTCAGCTACTTCCAACAACGTCACTCAAGAGTGGGCTTCTTCTATAGGCCGTTCACTAGGAGCATGGCTACAATCATTCCATCACTGGGCTGATAACGCGGCCCAATTAGGGGTGGCGGCCGAGATGGATAAGAACCAGTATATGAGAGATTTGAAGTTCATGGTCAACTACGATGCTCTGGTGAATGCAATTGATAAATACCCGACTATACTTGGAGATTCCCGGGATGTGTTCAGCAAGGTTCGCGAAATGGCGGCCGCAGAGCTGAGTGGAAGGGACGGAACTGGGTTTGGGATAATTCACGGTGATTTTTGGTCGGGAAAGTCCGTGCCTTCCCTGCCTTAATAGAACGAAGAACAAACAAGCTGATGCAACATAGTGTCCTCATCCCCAAAACAGCCCTCGACCAACCAAATCATCTTCCTCTATTCATCATCGACTGGGAACTTTGCCACTGCGGTGCTCGTGCCCTCGATCTGGGCCAGATGTTCGCTGAGCTCTACCTGTTGAAGCATTTCAAGGACATCGATGCCGCGACGTGGATTATCCAAGGCTTCATGAAGGGATACCAGGACTTGGATGATGAGACGGCCTTTCGAGTATTGATCCATGTTGGCGTCCACTTCATTGCCTGGGCACCCTTGATTCCTGGCTGGGGTACCTCGCAGCAGGTTGAAGATGCTGTTCGTCTGGGTAGAGATATCGTCACCAAGGCATGGGAAAAGGATAGAAGCTGGTTTGAAGGGGTATGGAAGTCACTGTTTCGAGATCGGTAGATCGTTCAGAATCTAAACTCTGTTCTCTATGTACCTAATCAGCTGTGAGATTGGGTGGCAGGGCGAGATACAATTCACCTGTCTGGCCCCACCCTTGAATCATAAGCCAAGCTATCAAGGAGATTGACCGAGAAACCGTGCACATTTCCGGTTGATTCAGTGACAGATTTCCCTTGTCTAAGAATAGGCGCACCCTACCTTATTGGGCAATAGGGTCAAACGGCGGACTTTTCTGCACCCCAACCCAGTGATCGTGCTTTTGCTTCCTCCCAGCATCTCATCATTAGTCATTGACCACCTCACTGGATACCTACAAGCCATGGCTCCATCTAAGAAGAAGCGAAACCAGTCCAAATCCAAACCCTCATCATCCAAACGTCGCAAGATCGTGGAGACAGCTCCTGAGGCGCCTAACCAGTCCGAGAAGACTGTCCCTCAACCGACCGTTCCACTCCAGGCTCAGCCTGTAAGCCCGGTAGATTCATTGTCCAGTAACGTCTCCTTCAAGCTCCATCAACGTCTCGAGCGCTATGACGACCTTGAACCGTCCGGCATTATAGTCGACGTTGAGCCACTGGATGATATCAAAGAATATGCATATAGCACGGTCCTGGGTAGCAAGAAGCTCCGGATGGTGGAGCAGATCAAAGTAGTGGAAGCGTTCATGGCGAAAATAGCTGAGCTCAGCCGCAGAAACAACATGAAACATGAGTGGGTAGGGCTCATACATAATGCTATTCTTCAAATGAACCTAGAGAACAGGGAAGCGTTCAGGACTGTTGAAGATAAAGGTATGTGAGACAAAATTTCCCCAAGTTTTGGTTATCTTTAGCACCATATCTGACATCCCAGAAAGAGTTGCATAGAAACATAATGCCAAAGCCCGTACAGAGTCTAGAACACCGATCTCGACCTGACATTTGTGTTGGGTTGAGCGAGTCTCACCTACGAGAGATCCTATACAAAGACCCGGATGATGCAGCTGCAAAAGAATTCTGGAATTATTTGAAAGAAAAGGATGGAGTGATCAGTGATCCATATGCGAAGCCGCAGTATCTGCGCTTTCCATTCTTCATCGTGGAAGTCCGGGCCGACTTCAATGGAGATAACCTGCACCAGGCCCAGAATCGAGCTGCAGTTGGTGCTGCAGGTGCACTCTGGATGCTTCAGATGCTCTCTGACAATAGGCGTGATACGAAAAGCGCGAAGTCCAAGAAGGGATTTGATGTTACCAATCTTCCGGTATTCTCACTTGTCTCGGAGGGCGCTACATTCCAACTCTGGGTTCATTACCGGAAAATGGTTCCGGGGGACAGCACGGACAAGATCGAATATTGTTCTGCACATGTCAAGTCATGGCATGCAACAGGGGGAAAAGCCTGTTATAAGATTCTGAGAAATATTTACGCCATTCTAAGATGGGGAGTGGGTGAATACAAGAATAAGGTGGTTGAGGCGCTCAAATCATATGTGTGATGGCTCTTCTTCGACTACTGCTTTTGCTGGTAAGAGCTCTTCCTATTTGTTTAAGATATCTACAGAAAAAATGCTAACCCCTGGTCTTAAAGTCTTTGCTATTGAGGGGAGACCCTATGTTTGGGCTCTATAAGATCACAACCCCCATTCTTTCTAGTTCTCAGATTTATACTTTTGTCTAGGGATTGGTTGTTTTGTCATGGTTTAGGAGTGTTCAACATCTCTCTGTTTCTGGCTGTTTATCGGATTGTTTCATTGGTCACTTTAATACTTACTGTTTACGGACTACAATTTCTTATTTGGGCCACTGGATATTCCTTCATGTATTAATACTGGACACTATCATTGCTTTATCATCAAAATAATATGAAATATCAAAAAGCTTGCTATACTTGTTGATAGTCATTAGATATCTTCATGCTTCCCTCATTTACCGAGCTATCACTGTTACGAGTCTCTTTGCAGTAGACTGTATATGCATTCTACGGACAGTCAAGTCAGGCTTGCAAGTATCGGCTACCGCCATGTCTATTTCTGTGCAGACTACAAAGAACAGAGATGCTAGGATATATACTCGCATTCCAGACGTAGCTCAGTTCATAGTTTTGCACGGTATGTGCTCCGGATACCTTCCAGCCCTGACGGTCCATCGTAGATTTGCTGTTCTGCAAGGCGGGTGTTGATCTGTCGCATAGTCGGTTAGCGATGAAAAGACAATAAGAAGTGGAATACAGTCGAAGTGACACTTACATGTTGGGGTCCTAGATCCTCCACACGCTCAACACCGAGTAACCGCATGCATGTCTTAGTCTCGTCGGAAAGAACTAATGATCCTAGTCAGCAGACGTCCTATTTGGATCTCGGATCCATTTACGTACTCTGCAGAGTGCGCTTGACACCCTCAACACCACCGGCTCCTAAGCCCCACAGTGCAGGGCGTCCAATACCAACGCCCCTGGCGCCCAGACAGAGTGCCTTGACAACGTCTGTGCCACGGCGGATACCGCCGTCAATCCATACTTCCAACTTATCAAAGACCTCCGGGCAATATTTCCGGATCTCGAGTAATGTGTGCACAGCTGGAGGGGCGGTGTCGAGAGCACGTCCACCATGGTTGGAAAGGATAATGCCTTTAACCTGAGGAGTGTGAAGGGATGCAATGTAAGCATCCTCGTGAGTCTGAAGACCCTTGAGGACAATGGGTAGATCGGTTTGCTTAGCCAACCACGGCAGAGTCTCCTTCCATGTGAGGGTTGGATCCGTGCCCGCGAAAAGCTGACGTCCGACACCTCCCCCTCCGTTGTTGATATCTTTCGAAGACTTGTCTGCGGCCTTTGTGGCGCTCGGAACTGGTGCTGATGCGCCCACGGTGTTGCCGCGCTCATCGTCCTCTCTCTTTCCCGGCACAGGCGCGTCCAGAGTGAGAACAATGAACTTGATCGCCTTGAGCTTGTTTATGCGTGCCAGCATGGCCTCGCTCTTCTTACGATCTGTTTGGACATACAATTGCCATCCAAATACTTGGTCTGGTGCGGCGTCCTTAACGATCTGCTCTGGGGTCATTGAAGCGTTGTTGGAAATGATCTGCATGGCCCCGAAGCTGCGACAGGCCTCCGCAATGCCAGCTTCACCAGCTGGATGGCCCAAACGAGCCATGGCTGCGGGGGAGACGTAGATTGGCATGCCGATCTTGTTGCCCAGAGCTGTAGTATCCAGGTCACATCGCGTGCAGTCGATGAATACCCGTGGTCGCAGCAAGATGGATCGGTAAACTTCAGTATTGAAATGTTTCGTGATTTTGTCGTCAGATGCTGAGTAGTAGTAGGCCCAAGCCTTCTTGCTGACATTTCTGGTGGCCACTTGCTCGAAATCGTCCATGTTGAGTAGACTCTCCATCGGAGGCGGGCCTTCCTTTTCCCCCGCATCTGAGGCCGGCTCCGCTTGTACTTTCGGCAGCGTGTCGGCATTCACCGTTCCCAAGAATGCTTCGGGCTTCAGATTCTCCTCCAGAATACCCGGAGGGTGGATAGGGTCGTATTCCTCTGTGGCATCCTTTCCTGCAAGCTTAAGAATTATTTTGGCACCACCAGGGTGCTCTGAGAGAAAGTCGGTGACCTGATTGAGTTGTGAGTGTTTAGTTTCGGTTAAGCCACAAAAGGATGTATGATTGGGTGAACATACATCGTAAACTTTTCCGTAGAGTATTACCCAGCAGCTCTCTGGAGTGTTGTGTTTTGCGACTGAGGGTCTTCAGTTAGTTTCAAGTCTGTGACTCTATCTTGATATGACAATTGTGCGCTGCATGGGAATTCCGGGGTATACTAACCTTCCGCCGCGTCGAATACCTTGCTCATCTTGCTATTCAGAGAGATGTTTGGGTCGTAGCAATTGGTCTTGTTACAATTGTCGAATGCGACCCGCGAGAGGGAAGAGGGAAGAAGAGATGAGGAGAAATCAAGGATAGTCAAGAGAGGAAAAGACGGTAGGAGATGAAGTGTTCGGAGCGGTGGCCTCGAAATGTCTCCTCGCACTCAACTAACCCGGTTAAACCCACCCCCATTTACGGCTCGGCCTGAACTCCGACGAGGAGACAAAGTTGGGGGCGGCGATTGAAATGCCGCCTGTTTGGGAAATGTCGGTCGCCGACGGGGACTGCTTAGAGAAAGACGATCGGCCATTGGTGGACAATCCGGGGGCCCTTGATGTCATGGCTCAAGCAGTTTTCTTTCGGAAAAGTACTTATCTTAGTATGCTCTTGAGCTTCATCTCTTTGATATGAGTAACCCATTTACAACTCTACAATTGACCCAGGAAAGCCAGTCCTCCACGTAGCGAAAAGGCTATAGGCTACAGGCTACTGCAGACGATGCAGCTTAATGCCAAGTTGAGCCATCAGATGCCATGGTCGCGTGCTATTCCTCTTCCAGTGCAGCTAGACCACGTGAAAGACCAGGCTGCTTAGCTTAATCCCCTCATCATCCTTCAGCTTGCCCAACGTCCATCTTGAATTTTTCATGTCGACTTGTCGACTTTCGACCCGGCATACTTTTTGGGGCCTAACTCCAGCCACATCGGAAGTCCCTTCTGTTCGCTTCTCATCACCAAACGAGGAGCCAAACAGTCGCCCATTCACTCCAGTATCCCGTCGATCGAAGAACTCGAGTCGTACCACTCAGATATTACATGACACGTCGTGATGTTTGAGGTGCGTTGGCTGACTGGCGATTACCACACGGCTTATTCTTCCTACAATGAGATTTGCATCTATAATGATGTCTCTGTACTGACTGGCTCCAGCGTCGCGCCGCGGACCGTTACCGGCTGCGGATGCACCGTGCCCGCACAGTCGCGCTAACTTCGGATGAGATTGTCGAAGTACGAGCAGCGCAGCGGACTTTCGAAGGCGCCTACATCCGTACAGCTTTATCCCAATTTTCTTTCGCCCTGGTGGTATTGAAGATCTTCACCAGCGAGTTCTATAGCACTGGAGCGCTTTTCGCCATCTACGGCACGGGCGTGCTTATCATCGGACTCTTCCGCCGTCAACAAGGCAACCGGCAATTCTTTTCCGAGATAGGGGAAGATGGCATTCGTCACAAGTTCAGAACTAGTGGAAATGCCGTGGTGGTGTTGACGGCCCTTAGCATTGCCGCCTACGCGACCCTTATCGCGCTGACCGTGAGGCTGGACAAATAGGCGGTCACGCCTCGCCAAGACACTTTAGGCAGTATGTCTACAACCTCATTGCGTACCTGCCAAGTGCATGCAGAATGCGACGGGCTCACCCCAGGCTTCTCGTTTCCTGCTCCAAGTGCAGTCGAGAGACGTGGCACGCGGGTGTGCCGAGCCGACTTCCGCCAACATCAAGCCACATCGACGTTCCAGCGCAAAGTTGAGGGGTGGCCCGACAGGGATAAGCTTGCAACACGAGTAAGACATTTCCTGCCCGGGTATGTGGGACCTACGGTTCATGACGAGATGGAGCATTACCGCTCTCAGCCACCCGAACTGGCAGCCTCACTGTCTAGGATTATCATGTCTATGCTCGAACCATTGCCTGCAATGCGCTTAACTCGTTACACGGTCCTCTATGTCGCTGCTACGGGAGATGATTACCGGTCTAGTCCACTACAAACGATGGTGGCGCTACTGACGATACGTGACGGTCCGAAGCGTGCTCGGGACGGCGTGTCGAATCGTCGGATTGATCTGCAATTCTCCTTCCAACATGTCTCGAAGGGAATACTTTCTGTACATTACCTTCTTGTATGGTTAATCTGTCTCTTCGTATTCAATTATTCAGGCTCATATTCATACTGCTATTCACGACCCCTTCCCGACTTCACCAGCTCCTACGTAGCCCTCCAATATATAAACTGCAGTTTCCTCCGTATCCAACTCTCCCCTTCATAAAATCCCATCATCTTAGATACGTGGCATCTTAATAGCCGAGCCGATGAATTTGATAAAATGGGTAGCCAAAGTATCATATGCATTAAAAAACCAATCACAAAAGCCTACTATCTCTGGGAAAAGATAATCTTGACTGTTGTAGATGTCTTGCTCATCGACTTGACTTATGGTCGTCTCTTGGCTTTCCGTATCACTAGGAAAGGACGAGGTCCACTCCACAATGAGTGCCTTATCTGTTGAAAGAAATATGGTCCCGAATATAATCAATGGAGTCTCTCGGTAAAACCATGACACAACTGCGTTGGCTGAGCACTTTCAACTGGAAAGAGAGACCAACGTAAAATATGAACGATCTGCAGAAACGACAAATAAATCTCATTGGTACTATGCACAATCGCCTAGACGCATAATTGAAGCTATACCGCAGTATCAGAGCAATGGCACTGCACTGGCGTGTTAGCACAATGCATATGGCACACCATTACGGGCTGCACAACACCCTTAATGGCAACTTATCGCGGACATGCCAGAGGATCTATTGGTGAACAGAAGATATCCTGGACTATATTTTTAGAAAATTATCCAGTCACCAGTGGCGATATCCTCTTATTAAATAGAGCGAGTTATAACAGCCCTCCATCGCACTAATCCTCAGATACTAGAGAGCCGATACGGACCACAGGCTGTCATATATTCTGCAGCGAGTAAAAAGTCCGTATAATACAACTACCTGAGCCCATCATTACCAGGGGATGTCCTTTCGATATCAAGGGCCTCTTGTTACGATGGCCTGGTAAGAAAGACTGAAAGTTTCGACTACACTACCTATGCTTGAGACGATGTCTCTTCCCACAGTGGGGGACTCAAATTGTCCCTTCTTTATTGAATACATTGCGAGAGTTTGGCCCAATTGCTTTTGTCCTTATTGGTTCAAGTTAAAGCGTCCTGGAAGACGCTAGTCTAGCGATCTGCAAACCTGTTTTTGTTGCTTATAGAGTAGCTACAATGGCAATGGTATGCAACCAACTCAGCGCTGTATTATATAAGTATATATTACCTTGGAGGTTGAAGGAGACCGACGTGTGGACACAGGTTGATGCACTTGATCATCGGACTGGGCAGAAAGTGGCCGATATACAGAATTTAGTTTAGATGTCCAACGAAGAGTCAACCGCAATCAGCCATAAGATACCGGGTGGTTCTTTGGTACCCTAATACTGACGTCTAACATAGAAATCAACAAGTCACACTACTGTCGGCATTATGTTTTGTGCCAGATGGCAGAAACGCCATGGAGTCTCAGGAGAACGATTGTTATTCTCTTGCGAGAGATATAAATGTCGACGAATGATACGTGGGGTGACTCGCAATCAGAGATGAGACAGGAGTACAGAGAAGATTCTATCAGAATATGGGACAGGCTATGGGGGGCATGTTTCTGTCAGAAGGACTTGATATAAAGTTTGGCGACTTCAAAACTTGTGTCTTGCATGAGGCCTACAGTCGCGTACCAGGCTCATTGGTACGAACTATAGCCGGTTCTCCTCTTGCAGTTGGGGAAATTTTAAAGTTCCATGGGTTCCATTGCATAAGATAAGAGATATTCTGAGCAATAGAGAGGTTTGCTTCAGACACTTGGTTGGCAAATCATCACTGACATATGGAAGTTTGGATATGATATATGGAATTTAAATATAGCAGCTCACAAGTCAATGTGGTATTAAAAAAATATATAAAATTAGTGGTTGAAGGTATAGCCAATGTATATACTACTTTTCGACTAGCAATAGAAGAGAATACTCGTCATGTTTTGACCCTATTAATCCAGGACAAAGAGTGCTTAGTACTAGCCATACTTGAAGCGAAGGGTTCTGAAACGTAGCACTAATGTAACTCAACCGATGATAGAAATACCGGTTGCAGTGTAAGATTCAGAGTAACAGGTCTTAGTTGTTTGGATACCTAGCCGATGCTGATAGCTGTCGCTTCGTTTAGCTGAATCGGGACAGGGAACTGCATGTCCTGCAGACATCCGGCTTGGAGTTAAACCACGATCCATGGCCAGATTGTGAAATAGATCGAACTACATTCTGGGAAATAAAATGCTGAGTCGGTCGATATCTCCGTCCACTACTTTTGCTCGCACCTGGACTAAAATAATAGGTTGTAAATTCTGAATTTATTGAACATAACAACTCGATATATACGGAGAAAATACGAGGCCGAAACAAGCAAGACTGGGTAAGCTGCAACGGAGGTGATCGGATCTGTACCGTGCAGGACAATGTAGATGAAACTTGGAAGGATTGTTGACTCGCCTTGCTGGCACTAAGACATCTGACACCCTTACCTGGGCCAAGCATTCTAGATTTTCTCGGTGACTATCGGTACTATCTGTCTGCAAACTTAGTGCGGAATTTAAAGGATTCACTTTAATGGTTGTTTTATTTGCTTTTAGCTCTATGATCGACAGTGCAGAATGACTAGCGGACCTGGTTGGACATTCTGTAACCGCAGCAGACTAGATACATATTTAAAACCGGGTGTACCAAGTAGTGTTACTTTCTAAATATGTACTTTGGTACATAAGTCCACATATTGTAAGAAGTAGCAAATTAGTGGATATGATTTGACATCATGGGGTGGCCATGGATGTTGATCAATCCGCGGAAAAGCTCCACCGTTTGTCATGAACGAGTGGGCGGGAGTGACTTCATCAGCAACGGACGTGACCCTCTTAATATGCCCGGTCGCAGTTGGAATCTCTTTGACCTCCAAGACCCTCCGTCAACCCAGATGATAAGAATCATCCAACCGAATTAGCCTTTCTCACCTCGTGCACAAAACCCTGGCCTATAACTTCACTTATTAGTTTCAACTGCGCCCTGCAGTTTTGCCTTCGGAAGAGCCGGAATAAGGAGCTTTGCATTGCATGGTTCCGCCGCCCTGGAAGAGCGTTGCGTGCTGTGAACTTAGCCCCGTTCTGCGGGATTCTGCCAGCGTCTATCTAACTCAAGAAGACGCGGTGGTGCAGTTGCTACCGCGTGGTGGTATAAAATTCACGACCGCGACTGTAGGGTTTCTCTCTCTCTCTTCAGAAAGAAGTGGACTGGCTTGCATTCACGGAAAGAGCGAGCAAAGTGACGAGTTGTGTGCCGAACAAGTGAATTTGAAGTGACGTTTGGTTGGGAGCGCGGATTTGACTCATCCCGCCCGCCTCACAGCGCGACGACCAACACAACATCTTCCCCCTCACTCTTTTTTCTCCATCCTTCTCCAAATAACGAACAGTTACTACCCCTCGATCATCATCATCGCCTCCGTGAGTAAAGACTGTGGTTGACCCGGTTTCGAGGTCGCTGCCAGCATTAGATCGGAGGTGATTCTCACTGTTGTCATCCTCTCATTGGCTCTCCCTCTTATTCTGTTGTTCACCTATCGATTCATCTTTGCATCTCGGCTGCATCCCTGCGCCACTCGCGGGGATGTCTCAACACACCGATATTGCACGATCCGCCATCATGACGTGCGCGTCGGCCCCCGATCACCAACGTGCCGGTGCTCCAGGAAAACCAAATGGATCCGTTTCTCACTCGGGAACTGGGAAAGACGCTAATCTTATGCCTCCCCCCAAATCACTGGTCGGACGAGCGCTAGGCAACGAACTGCATTCCGATTCCCACAGGGGATCGCAGGTGCCCAAGGATGGTGTCGGGTTTGCCCTAACAGACACTCCGATTTCTACCGCACCCTCGTCTCCACCTTTGTATGTTCTCCCGCCTTTTCCTTGCTCCTGTTGGTCCGTTTTATTTTCGTCTGCTGTCTAGATCTGTTTCGGGGCGTTTTGCTCTCGAATTCTAGATCGTGAAAGCCTTTTTTTCCTTTTTTAAGATTTTAGTTTATTATGTATTCCCCCGGAATGATCGACGGCTGTCAATTCGGGTTATATTGGCCCGGCTGATGACCCGGTCTTCCCCGCGCGTTTGCTTCATACTTCCTTTTCTCCGAATTCATCCTCTTATCTTGATTCTGGGATTGGACCATGTGTCTATCTCCCCGGGAGTCGTCTCCTTATTTGTCGCAGCTGTTTCTGGACACTGTCAGGAACAGAGTTTGTGGCGTTGCAAGCTAACCAGCTATCCACATTAGTACTGCCAATACTACTCCGTCGACCCCGGGTCGAATTCGTGCCACTACCCTCGATATTCCAGGTCTCACCAAGTCGAAGGTCTCTCCCGATGGACGTATTGCTCAACGTGATGTGGGCTCGAAACTGGTTATTGTCATGGTCGGCCTCCCTGCTCGGGGAAAGAGTTATGTCACGAAGAAGCTGGCCCGTTACCTTAATTGGCTGCAGCACGATACCGAGATCTTCAACGTAGGAGAACGTCGTCGTGTGGCCGCCGGAAAGTCTCCAGCTACCGATGGAAGACGTCCGAGTCACAGAGCCAGTACCATTCATAGCGAGCTCGTTGATTCCGTGCGTCGGCTCAGTGTCAGCGTTGGCACTATGAACCAGCCGTCGAAGAAGAGTGACCTTAGGGCCGAAGCAGCTGCGAATGCCTCGGATGTCGCTGTGACCTCGCCCCCTGAAGTTGAAGGCAACGTCCCGCCTTTCGATGGCAGCCTCCCGCCTCCTGCTGTCCCTACCAAGATCCTGGTTAATGGAAAGGAAGAGGATCCGTCCGAGAGCACTATCGTCCCACCGATGAATGCGTCGCCGGCCGAACAGGATGCCATACGCGAGGCATCTCCCGAGCCCATCGACCAGTCAGCCAATTTCTTCGACCCTAAGAATCAGCTGGCCGTGAAGCTGCGAGAGCAGGTGGCCTTGGACACGTTGGATGAACTTCTGGATTACATCCTCGATGAGGGCGGCAGTGTCGGCATTCTTGACGCCACCAACAGCACCATGGAGCGCCGCAAGGCAATCGTCGATCATATCCGCAACCGTGCTGGCCCCGAGCTGAACATCTTGTTCCTGGAAAGCAGCTGCGTGGACGCGGAATTGCTGGAAGCCAACATGCGTCTGAAGCTGTCGGGTCCCGATTACAAAGATCAGGACCCTGTCAAGGCCCTCGAAGACTTCAAACGACGTGTGGCGCTCTATGAGAAGTCCTATGTTCCTCTCGGCGAGTACGAAGAGAAGCACAGCATGGCGTACATCCAGATGATTGATGTTGGACGCAAGATCGTCTCTCATCAGACCCATGGCTTCCTTTCGTCGCAGGTTGTCTATTATTTGCTCAACTTTAACCTCTCCCCGCGTCAAATCTGGATTACCAGACACGGTGAAAGCAAGGACAACCAGCTGGGCCGCATTGGTGGTGACTCCGAATTGAGTGAGAATGGTCATCGCTATGCAAAGGCGCTGAACCGTTTCATCGACCATCAGAAGCAGCAGTGGGAGTTGGTTCAGAGACAGAAGGAAATGCTGCAGCGTTTGCCCCCTCGTGCTGGCGATAGCACTCCCCCCAACCCATCGTACATTCCCCGCGACCGGCCTCGCAACTTCTGTGTTTGGTCGTCGATGATGCAACGTTCCGTGCAAACCGTCGACTACTTCAATGAAGATGAGTATGATGTCAAGCAAATGAAGATGCTTGATGAGCTCTATGCTGGCCAGATGGAAGGAATGACTTACGATGAAATCCGCGAAAAGTTCCCTCAGGAGTATGCAGCGCGTCGGAAGGACAAGCTCTACTACCGCTACCCTGGCCCTGGAGGCGAAGGGTATCTGGATGTGATCAACCGGCTTCGCGCCGTGATTATTGAGGTGGAGCGGACGACCGACCATGTGCTGCTGGTCACTCACCGGTCGGTCGCCCGCGTCCTGCTGGCGTACTTCCGTGGCCTGAAGCGCGATGAGGTTGCTTCTTTGGATGTGCCTCTGGGGATGCTTTACATGTTGGAGCCCAAGCCGTACGGTGTTGAATTCAAGGCGTACCGTTACAATACCGATACGGACTGGTTTGACTACATTCCCGACTTTAAGTTGCAGCAGACTTCCCAGTACTAGACTCCGCTATTTCTACTGGCACCGTGCCACGACATCATGGCTGGTCTAGCGAGATCAGTGACATCTCTGCTCACCTTACAGATGCCTTCTACGAGCAACGACTCTTGACGACGTTTCTTTCTCCAACTTTGCTTTTCTCTTCTGCTTTTACTCGGTGTTATGGAGCCTTACGCTGGACTGGTTGCCAGCTGTTGCTTCCCCCCATTCCCTTTCGCATACGTGTATTATCCCGGGAGACGTCCAGTTGCGTATTCACTGGGTCTTGGCTTTAGCGCGCATTTGCTTACTCCGGCGCCGGAAAGGATGCCTTGTCTCTTTCTGAATTCATCCGGGGATATTACTTGCTCGCATTTGTCAACTCGGGCGTTTGGGGATTCTCTCTGGGGTTGCAAATTCTCCTCCCCACTGCAAAGACTTATGGTTGTGAATTATCGGAGGACTTAATGGGCAAAAGGATGGGCTGTCTTATAAGACTAGACTCCACTACGTTACACTTCTTCCTGCTTGTGTTACATATTTGCTGCCTCCATAGAGCAATGTAAATTGCATGGGATCAACAGAACCTGTAGATTTCCTCATATACCCATCTAACATCGTAACCCTCTTGATTCAAGAACTCTTCTTCACCTGCTCAAACACCTCCAAAAAGGTCTCCGGCTCATCCGCCCCCTCCACAGCATACTGTCCCTGAACCATATAGTACGGCACGCCCGTCACCAACTGCCTTCTCGCCTTCTCAGCCTCCAAATCAACCTCCTTCCCTCCCTCCTCCCCATCCAACAACCTCTCAACTTCACTTCTCTCCAATCCTGCCCCAACCCCCGCCTGCACCAACACCTCCCGATCCGTCACATTCTTCTCCTCTTCAAAATACGCCCGGAACAACTCCTCCGCCACCCTCGTCTGCAAGCCCCCAATCACATTCTCTTCTTTTTTCTTCTCTACATCATTCTTCTCCTTCTGCCCCGCATACCACATCAACCGATGCGAGTCCCGTGTATTCCCCGTCCTCCCGCCGAAACTGAACTTGATCCCTTCGCTCTGGCCCACGGCACCCAGTCGATCGAAGATGGCAAGCGCGCGGTCGCCGCCAAACTTCGACTTGTAGTATTCGGTCTTGTCCAGACCGGGGAAACTCGGCGAGTTCGGGTTCAGGTAGAAGGCGTGCCAGGTTAGGGTGAATGTGTCTGCGGGGTGTGTGGCTTTGTGGGTTGTGATGGCGCGCGTGAGGCGGCGGTAGCCGACGTAGCACCACTGTTTGATTCTGTTAGTAGATGTTGGTATAGTGGGATGGACCGGGAGTGATCGGTTGCATGTAGGTTTGGGTTTTGGGTTGGGGGGAGGGGTACCGGGCAGACGGTGTCGGAGATGATTTGGATGTTGAAGTTGGTCATTGTGTATATTATTCCTCTCTAGGTTGATCTTGCATTGGATAAAGTTTAGGGGAAGATGTTTGTGAAGAAAGATGTAGCTGTATAGTTAGCTGGTTAATGGGGATATTCGCAATGGATTTGTCAGCAGATTAGCAAATTGTGGGGGAGATTCAACCACATGGACTGCGATGGAAACAGTCATTGGTGATCTGCTTGTAGAGCCGAGTTCCGATCCATCTATTACAAAATGGCAGATGGATTGAGGCTGGTCTTCATCTGACCAGTTGGAAAGTGCAGTTGAGTACTAAGTACTAGTGATGCTGCGGGCTGATCCTCCCTCTTTTTCTTCTCCCCGCATGACATCATCTCACTGGTTTGATTGATCGACGGAAATCCACAGAAGATGATTAGATGATTGACAGACTGAAGTATTCTCCTGTAGGGGTCCAATGGGTGGACTCTTCTTCAATAGAGAGTCAAACAGAGTTGGTTCAACAATATTATATCACGTCCGGCACCGACGCGAGTCCGCCTTGGCCTCGACTTGCTGGCAGGCGCTGGAAGGCAGGGCCGAAGTGGTAGCCAACCCGACGCATGGCCTTGTACCATACGGCGCCTGAGACCGGGTATTGCAAAGGTGCAATATCTGACGCATTGGCAAGTGATCGAGGAAGACTTTGGTTAGCAACGTCTACAGGGCTTCGGCAGTGTTATTCAATTGAGCCATCCTTTGTGGTCGTGCTGACCGTGAACTCGTGCCATGACTCCTTAGTGCTGGAGCACGGTTGCAACGACAATAGGATATAGGTACCGCTTTTTGTGTCCAGTGTGAGCATCCGGGAGAATGTCACGTTGCGCAGTTTGAAAGGGAGTTCAAAGATGGAAGTCCCCTCGGGGATCTGCCCAGTTGCATACGTCTTCTGTTAGATGGCTTCAATAGCCATAGCAATGTAGCCCGCCGCCGGGAAGATGACGCTGTCTCCGACAAGATGGTCGCGCAGCCAAGTGATATCGCTTAGCCGCAACACATTTTTTCATGTTGGATTAGTCCATGGGCTGCTGAGGATTTTGCTACCAAGAAGGTCATGATAGGGGAACTTGCGGAAGCGCTAGTCGTGACTGGATTCGCTTTCGTGCCAGTATTTCACGGAGTGGTTCCACTGGTAGTTGGGTAGGTCCGACACAAAACACAGGGCGAGCTTCGCCTCCATCATTGTTGAATGCTGTCAGGGATATGGAGTAGCCCATGGTGAATAGCGTCCCCGCTGAATGTAGCAAGGCCGAGATCGCGTTAGGGCCGCGCTTCCAGGCCGAGACATACTTAACTGATGAGGAGGCGGCTTTTTTGGTCTGGTTAATTGGTCCGGACAGCGCGTCACTTAGCCCTATTTCGAAAAGGCAACCAACAGCCTCTGGTCCGTTATCAGCTCATGTGCGGCCTGGCTAAAGAGCACAGGCGAAACCATGTTGGCGACCCAGTAGGCAGGCCCGAGTGGGGTCTCGAATGCCTTGCCGGTGGTCGACGACACCATTAGTGACTGCTTCTTGTTCTTACTATGCTTCGGCCACTCGACATGTTGCCTCAACAGATTCTCATATCGCCCAGCGAGTACATCACCTTGGCCGAGAGCGTGACGCTCTGCGGGCTGTTAATGCAGGCAATCTCAATAGTAGTGCCCTCCAAGTATGGTAAGACCTGGTCAGGTCCAAGACCGACAGCCATCATCCCGCCAGGTGCCTGGTAAACGGCTTCGAATGTAGCTTTACCCCGATAATACGCTATCAAAATAGCCTGCTCGGGGGTGATGTAGCCTGCCGCGACAGCTGCTGCAATCTCCCCGGATGAATGCCCGATGACCGCTTGAGGCACCACATTGGAAGCCTGAAATAGAGCTAGCAGTGCCAGTTGAAGTGCCGTGACAAGCGGCTGAGATCGTTCCGGGCGTTGGACCTGGGCACCGTCGGCCGTCAACTCTTCGTAGAGCGACCAGGATGGCGCATCATGAGCGTCTTGTAGTATTCCCTCCAAGTGCTGGATCGTATGCGCGGCTAGAGGGAATGTTTCAACGAGCCTCTCCCTAACATATTCGAGATTGTCCTATTTGGGATCAAATTATACATGATATTAGGGCTGCTCTCATTGTAAACACAGCCTGGTCAGGTGACAGGACCGGGGGTATAATCCTTCTTTATAAGACGTCCTCTCCTCCATCTGCTTTCCCCCTCCTTCCTTGATCCCCCCATCTGGTGGTAATCTCTCCTCTCCACTTCTCCTTGACAATGTCCAAGGCTCGAGGACATGCTATAGTTTCCTCAACGACCAATTCGCGCACTGAAGCGACTGGAAGCACTCTTGACAATGCCACGCCCGCACCCGCACCCTCCCCGTCCAGGGAGTCCGGGGCGCGTCTCACCACCACCACAATTGCGTGGACTATGATGTCGCTTTGTTTGTCGGTGCTCCTCTCCGCTCTTGACTTAACAATTGTTACTCCTGCAATTCCTGCTATAGTTGGCACTTTCAAATCTTCGGCCAGCTATATTTGGGTGGGAAGCGCTTATACCCTGGCCTACGCAGCCATTACGCCAGTATGGGGCTCGGTCTCCGACATCTGGGGCCGAAAACCCATTATGCTCATTGCAGTCGCTGTTTTTCTTATCGGAAGTCTTGTCTGTGCCCTTGCGCCGCATATGGATGCTCTGATCGCGGGACGGGCGATTCAGGGATTAGGCGGCTCCGGAATGGGGATCATGGTCAATATTGTTGTCAGCGATATGTTTTCACTACGAGATCGAGGGCTGTATCTCGCAATCACTTCGCTCGTGTGGGCAGTTGGCAGTGCCATAGGGCCTGTTCTGGGTGGCGTTTTTACATCGAGGCTCAGCTGGAGATGGTGTTTTTGGATTAACTGTAAGACGTTTCATCTAACACGATGGCCCTTAGCTTACTTTCTCGACTGTATAGTACCAGTCGGAGCCGTCTCCTTCCTGGTCTTGCTCTTCTTTATGAGAGTTCCGAGCCCTCGAACACCCATTGCCGCCGGCCTAAAAGTCATTGACTGGACAGGCAGTCTTTTGATCATAGGCGGCTCTTTGACGGTCCTCCTTGCCCTTGACTTTGGCGACGTCGTCTACTCCTGGTCTTCTGCAACCGTCATCTGTCTATTGGTTTTTGGAACGGCAGTGATGGCGCTGTTCGTGGTGAACGAATGGAAGATTGCCAAGAACCCAATTATTCCAGTTTGGCTGTTCACCTCGCCGACCAAGATAGCGCCTTACGTTGTCTTCGCGTGTAATTCATACGTGTTTATTGGACAAGCATATTACCTGCCGTTATATGCGCAGTCCGTCCTGGCCGCAAGCGCGCTAAGATCAGGCCTCTACCTTCTACCACTAATTGTCTCATGTTCCCTGGCTGCGGCCGCAGCCGGGATCTTCATGCAGCAAACCGGGAAATATCTCCCGGTGATGTATATCGCCCAGGGCTTTTTGGTCCTCGGCTCCGGCCTACTAATTAGTCTTGAGTTTGAAGCCAATATCACCAAACTCGTCATCTTCCAGATCCTAGTCGGTCTCGGTGTAGGCATGAACATCGAAGCGCCGATCCTTGCTGCTCAGGCGGCAACCAGTATCCTGGATACAGCAGCTGTCACTGCGACAATGGGGTTTGTCCGGTCTCTCTCTACGGCTATTTCGGTTGTTGTCGGAGGTGTGGTGTTTCAGAATGAGATGAATGCGAAAAACGAGGGGTTAGCAAGCCAGCTGGGTTTCAACTCTACTTTGGCCAGCGAATTCAACGGCGACAATGCCGCTTCGAGTGTGGAGGAGATTAGCACTCTCGGACTTGACGCAGTTCAAGAGGCCTTGGTTAGGAAGACGTACTTTGAGGCGTTGAGAATGGTGTGGGTCATGGTAGGTCATTGCGATATATCAACACGTCGCACTGCTCTCCTTCAAAACCTTCAGTGCATCTATACTAATGTTATACCCTGTGTGCTATTAGTATGTGGCATTTGCTGGACTGGCTACCGTTCTTAACCTGTTTGTGCGAGCGCATAAGCTTCGGACTGAGAATGAGGGTGCCGTGCTGGGGGCCGACCGGTCAAGGCAACAGGAGAGCCCTGCTGCTGGGGTCGCCGAATTGGAGTTGCGGAATGAGCGAGGCGATTAACGTTGGCTGTGGTGTTGACATACATGCCAAGGGTAACTGGGTAAAAGTCCTCGGTTGCAGCTACGCAGGCATTCTGCGTAGCCTAACCTGGGATTGGTTACGTCCTCATCATGCAGCTGCAGCCATTGCAGTTTCTCATGGCCTTATGTACTAGATCTAGTGCATATTACATATACGTGGTAGATTTAGACTTGGTTGTCTTATAGATTTGTATGCGAGATGCTTGACAAAGTAAACGAAAGGACAAAGGTGTGCTCTTATGAATCAAGTCCGCAGGCTTCCTATCTCCGATGAATAAGCTGGCATCCTTCTAACCAGTCTAAAACAACTTTCTGGCTTAAAGTGCGGCATATTGTGTCGGAAGCCCAGCAGGAGCACATGATGAATCTAATAGTAAGCATGGGACCGATGATGCTAGTGAGCATCCAGAACCTCATACTAGTACTGGCGGAGAAGCCTACGGATACCTTTCATGTGAACAGCTAGATCTACAGAATGGTGTCATCTACATAGAATGTCTTAGTTATTGTTCAGTAGTAGTATGGTACGGTACTAGTAATCCATCAGTGGTTGATGGTAGAGAGGCACTGCTGCTCAAACTATATACTGAAGGCCTTAAATCGGAACAGTTTCAGTAGTGACCGACACACACTATACATAGTATATACAGTCTATAGAGTTAGTGGTTATCTATTAGACTTACCTCGCAAGCATGAATTACCGTAATATTGCCTTGAGAGTCCGTCGACTTTTTGGCGAAAGATAGACGGGTTATATACTAAATTGGGCGGCATACGGCGGTAAATAGCGGCCATCGGGCAAGTACTAGGCGGGAGCTATCAGGCGGCAGGTGACTGACTTAGTCCTAAGGCTAGTTTTATAGTTAGTTACAAAAGCAGCAAGAACAACACGGGCGCGATCCTCGACGTCATAGGACAGGCGGTGGAAAGTGGCAGACCGACAGTTACAATAAAGCAACTGTTTCTGGCATCCCCGCTCACCACATGGCATCGAATACTTAACTAGTTATTATTTGTTACCTGTTGACTACTAGTACTCCTTTGCATCTCACCTACCCTCCCAGATCTCAGGAACCAGAGCCAGTCTTGCCTTGCTGCCTCCTCTCCATGATCATTTCGTTCCTTCTTCGCTGCCATGATTCCATCTGGGCCTTTCTCCATGCCACTATCCTCAACATCCCTCCATCCCGACTATATATTTTCCCTACCTTGGCTGGTTCAGTCTGGTTCCTGACTCTGGCGTCTTTGCTTCTGACATGGCTGGCTCGTGGAATGCCCGTCTATCCGGGCCAAAGTAATCCTCATGTCGCGTGAGTGTTTTCTCTATCTCAATTATACATTACATACTTTAAATGGGTATTGATTTTGAGGACAGCTTCATCTCCGACATTGCCTCCTTCGAACTAAAACCCCTCTTCCTCATAGGTGCTTCTATGACCGCCGTAGGATTCGTTTTCACAGTAGCTGCCGTGCACGTCATGCGCTACGAGCCCGGTTTCGCCTTGGTGAAATGTCCAGTTATCTCTGAAGAGACCTCGAACAACCAGGGGAACAATATTACCTACACCCAATCTAGCGGTCACAACCACCGAAACGCCTATAATCACATAACCGGTGGCGGACATAATGAGGCAGAAGAAGATGCAGAAGAAGGGGAAGAAGAAGACCAAGAAACAACCCGCACTCTCAAAGTCATCTCCCTGCTATCAATCCTCGCAGCCGGAACAGCCAGCACAGCGCTCATCCTCCTCGGGGTAATGGATACATTCCGCTATAAATTTGCCCATCACATCTTCCTTCGCATCTGCTTCGGATGTCTTGCTATACAGTCGGCCGGCACCGCGATTGTCTATTCAACCGAGGTCCTGAGTTTCGTGTCATATCTGTATCATTGGGGGGTATGGGGTAACGATTGGGGGAGGAAGAGGAGTACACGAGTTAGGATATTGTATGTGCAAATTATCCCTTCGATGCTTTTGTACTACATCGCCAGATACACACATCGTTTCTAACATGCCGGGAATATATAGCGCATCCCTCTCCACCATCCTCATCCTAATACAACTCTTTCTCGGCGTGGCCTTCATCTCCCTGACCATTCCTGAGGACGCGAATGACTACAGAACAGCTGGGATTCTCGAGTGGATCATTGCGTTCTTGGGGACGATCTACCTATGGCTCTTCTGTGGGTTCTTTGACCGGTAGGACTCCTCCATAAACATCATATTATCACCACCATTACTGACCGCCAGCAGAACCTCCTTCGAAGGCTACGTCCCCAGCATATTATACAACGCGACACCCCACGGCAAATTCCTCGGCCGTCCCGCAGTACCAGGGGTAGGAGTAGCCGAAGCTGAGTCTTCGTACAACCCTACTGATGATACTTTGAATGTGGATCCTGAGCGGGCGCCGTTGCTTCCTCAGTCTCAGTCTCAGTCTCAATCTCAGGGTGGGTTTGGGACGAGGTATACATGATGATGTAGATGACAGTTATATTTAGATATGATATACTATGATGTGATGCTCATTTAAGGCGTGGCGTTTGGTTGGTTTGCGTATGCGTGTATATAATTTTCATGTTCAGCTGTATATACAACTTGTATGAAGAGAACTCGACGATTTATGAGATTGGGGCTATAATTCTAAATGCATGGAAAGTAAGATACCGACCAAGACATACCATATAACCATAATATTCACTTTTCATTCTAATAATACTCGCCCGTGTCAACGTGACAAAAACCCATTTAATCACATAATAACATGCTAAAGATACGTACATTGACAATACGCCACCCCATATTTACCTCAAGTAAAGGGGGTGGGTGTGTCGACCGTCTCATACATTCTATTGACTTTACAGAAGTTGTTGCTGTTGTTGTGGCTGTGACTGACTACATTCTGGAGCCACATATCGCCTTAAGAATTGAAAGAAAGGGGACCATCTCACAAAGTCTGACCACCTTGGTTAACGAGTTGCCACATGTTGGCCTTGTTCAGGAACGCAGTCGAGTTGAGCCCGGGAAGGGGCTCCATGACCGCAGGTTCACGGTTTCGGAGCTTCTCCATGGTAGAGTTGTACTAGACTTGAGGTTAGTTTGAGCTCTTTAGTTGGGATGCAGGTGGGATAAGAGCCTACCTTGAAGGCAAAATTCAATACCAAGGCAACGGCCAGCCCCACGCAGACCACAATCGGTCCAAACATGTTGTCCAAGTCCTTTCCGCTCCGTTGGCGGATCAGACGGGCGCGTTTCTCGTGCATGTACCATCCCCAGGCGGCGGCGAAGATGGCAAAGCAGGTGTAGACGATGGACAGGGCGCGAGCAATGTCGTTGTGCTTGCCCGCTGCGTTGTACAGACCCAGAGATAGCGAAGAAAGCAGGATACTAATATGGAGCCACTTAATGAAGGTACGCTGGTTGGCGAGCCAGACCTTGGTCTCGACACGGACCGGGCCCGAGTCCTTGATCCATGTGCCGGGCTCCCGGACACCAGGGGGCAGGACTACATTGTCTGCAGGTGCGCGGTTCTGACGGGAAATGGTGAAAGAGGGGAAGAGAGAGGCCAGGCGCTTCATGGTGACTGGCTGTTCCGCCTCTGCGGCGGACTGTTCGACAGGCTCCTGACGCTCAGGGGTCGGTTGTGACATTGTCGGGGCAGACGGACGAGGGATCGGCTGTACAATCTGGGAGGATTGGCGGCGACGTGAAGGCCCTGTCTCGGTGAACATCTGGACGGGGGACCCGACAATGTGTCGAGTTGACGGTGTCTTGCCTCCCAAGAAGCTCCCGACAGCCATGTCGTCTTCGGCACGCTTCGCCAGACGCTCCTGTTCTTCGTGGAAGGCCGTCTCAGGGTCCCGCCTGATATCACTTTCCAACTCACCGAGCCAGAAGGGGAAGCTGTTGACATAGTCTTCGAACAACTGGGCCACGCCATGTACGAATTTGGAGAACCGCGGGGCTTCCTTCACGAGATGGGACACCATCAAGTCCTTGACCCATTCCGCGCTACGTGCCACATCCCCTCTAATTTTGATCTCCAGCAGGCCATGGGGGAAACGAGCGATTTCGCCGGTTCTGATGGACTGGAAGGGATATTCCATGCCAGCATCGTCAATGTCCCTCCGGTGCCATTCATGTGCGTCACGGCACGGGCGCAGCTCGTCCAGCGCATCTTCCCGGATGAGTGCCAGGTTCGTATCAAGAGAAATACGGATTCGGTCATCTCCAGGGATCTGGAAGGCAGTGCGGGTGTAGTTGGCGCGGAGCATGGGCTGCAGGTTGTGCTCCTTGATGAAGGATTGGAGCTCATCGACATCCTTCTTGAAAGCTTCCGCTTGTTCGGAGTCTCCGTTGCCCATGTTCTCCATGCGATGCACCTTCTTATCGAAACGGTACTCTCCGTCCAGGAACTCCTTGACGTGCTTCTGCTTGAGCTGCACCTTGACCTCTCGACTGCGATCATCATCGGTGACCACCTTCTTCTCCAGGAAGATGGCGGGCTTATCCCGTAAGTTGCCGGTCCAGCGCAGCCGCAGCGAGCCCGCTTCAGGGGCACGAGCCACCTTCTGAGTGTAAAGGTCGAATTGCGGGTTGTCGAAGTAGAGGGAGGTAATCGTAGGGTCATCGGGGATGGTGTTGAGATCCTTGGAAGTGCCAGGGTTGTAGATGAGGACAGGCAGTTGTCGGAGGATGTAGGTCTTCACCTCCAGGATGTTGTCTGCATGAACCCAAAACTTGAATGAGGAGTAGACATCCTGACCGACACGAGGCTCGACGGGGTCCTTGGCTTCGATTATACCTTGGCTGAGGATCTCGCGGGCGAAGGAATACATCACGGACAACCGACGGACCAAAGGGGAGTAATCCTCCGAGTTGAAGGGAAGTTGCGAGAGACGCACTTGCAGCAGAGGCTTGACACGGTAGCGAGTACCACGCTTGCGATCATGCTTCTTTGCAGCTTTGAGGAAGCCGGTAAAGTTGATACGGCTGTACTTCTCGAGCTCTGTCACCTCTTTTGTGATATTGTCCAGTTCCTGCAGGACATCGGAAGCAACACGCTTCTTCTCCTCTCCATCCACCACGGTAGGTGCATCATCCTCGGGCGAGGTCGTCAACGGGCGCAAGCGGGCTTCGCAGGTAGTGGTACGCTCTCGCAACTGCTGGAGGGTTTCCATCTGAAAAGCATTGACCTTATCGAGCTGGACGTTGATGAGCTCTTGGACGAAGGCTTCTTCATCCTGCTCGGTCCATGGGTTGCTTTCGGAGTCACTGCCATCACCAGTGACATCATGCTCTCGGAGCAAGACCTTTAGTTTATTGTAGTCGATGTATTTGCCCGCCCAGGGGGCATAGATAGAGTTGCGTAGAGTCTTCCCGAAACGCATGACTGTGATGGGCAAGTACGCACGCGACAGTTGAGAAGATCGGAGGCGGGGAAAAGAGAGAGATGGACTCCGGGAGAGACTAGAGATGTAAGGAATGCCGTCCTAGCGGAGACGATTCCGGGAACCACGGAGGGCGATCGATGCAAGGGGGATAAGCAATTAGCTATATGCACCGTATTTTTGTTATCGGGGTCGAGAAGAAATTTTTCAGGAAGGAAGAGGAGAAAGAGAAAAAGAAAAGAAGAAAGTGGCGAGGGGATCAAGCAGCAACAGCATCATGACTAGCAAAGAGGACTAGATAGCGACTACTTTAGCAGCTTCAAGCCAGAAGGACTGCCATCGCTGTATCCTCGCACGTGCTCCCGTCATTCCTTCCCTATGACACTCTGATTGGTTAATTGAGTTCAAGCTATCCCCGGCCAGTTGAAAGCTAGTATCAACTTGATATTATGGTATCAGTAATACCATTACCATACTAAGCCTCGGTTCCATCACTACTAATCTCCGGCCTCCATCCTGATGTTATTCGCATCCCTTCTGTTGCCTGTCTTTCGCTGACACCTTATAGGCTCAGCTATAGGCATTCCGTGCCTGACACAAATTCCCCTTTCCCCCAGGCTCCTGGTAAATGGATCCACCTTCGATTACAATGTCCGCCTCGTTGGCCCCGTCCCTTCATGGCGTCCTGTCAGACTTACACAACCGTCCATATCCCCATGTCCCCAATCCGCCGTCGTGTAAGAAACGTGCCTCTGTCGCCTTGATCCTCCGTGTCCGTCCCACATACCACCACTGGCCCGATGCCTCGTCTGTTTCACCTCCAGATGTCTCTGCCTCCGTTCCGCAACGGCTGCAGACGTTCTTCGCCCAGGACTGGGTTCAGAATGGAGAACCGGAAGCTCTCTTTATCAAACGAGCGTCGCGCGTCGGCGATCGCTGGACTGGCCATGTCGCCCTGCCAGGAGGGAAACGGGATCCAGAAGATGTCGACGATAAAGCAGCCGCGATTCGAGAAGCCGTGGAAGAGATTGGACTGGACTTGACAACGAGTGACTGTATCCATGTGGGAAATTTACCAGAGAGAGTAGTAACTTCAAGTTGGGGAACAGTACCGTCCGTGTCTTCCCCCGTCTCCTTATTGTCACTTAAAGAAAGCATACCACTGACTGTATCCTTTCTAGATTGATGGTGTTATGTCCATATGTCTTCTTTTTAACGTCCAGTGACTCTCCCACCCTCCGATTGCAGCCTACAGAAGTCGCTTCAACCCATTGGGTACCCCTCAGAGCCTTGCTTTCTTCATCCCTAAGAACGGTGGAACATGTGGACATGACTCAGAGATTGGCGAATATGGGCGGGCTTCTGGCCCGCCTTGCATATCGCTCCATGATGGGCTACATGCAGTTTTCTGCCATCCGGCTGGCTCCAACTGAAAGCCTACAGTGCAACTCGACCCCGGGCTATCTTCCAGAAGGCAACCAACCGTCCACATCTCTGTTTCAGCGATGGAAATCTTGGTTCATGGGCAGTCAGACGCACTTCGGCAGCCAGGACCGGCCACTCCTTCTCTGGGGCTTGACACTGGGTATCATGGCTGATTTTCTAGATATGCTTCCACCTCATACCGCTGTACAGTTATGGAAATATCCCAATTTCACAGCACTAGATTTGCGATTCATCATAAACGTTCTGACATATCGTCTGCGCAAGCACAACCGAAGCCAGGTCCGGTCGGGTGCCCGGCCCAGCAACACGGCGGTGGATAGCCAGACCGCTGCACTGCCGGTCACTAAGACCACAGCGACCAATGGGAATGCGGAACACAACCAAGTTGGCATCGGAGGGCTTGGAGTAGGTAGGTATTTTGGGTCGTCTGATACAGACCCTACCGGCAGTGCATATGCAGTGGGTATCATGCTCCGGGGCTACTATGAACGGGTGCGGATTGGCATCTACATCATTGTGGCCTGGAGGATCGCACTTGGCTCTACAGCCGCCATCTATGCATGGAAGCTGCTCCGTCGGTTGAAGTAGATATTAAATATGTTCATGCTTCAAGTCTTATATATAATCTCTGTGAATAGCAATGTTGATGACGACGCACCTTCACATTATATATTTCAAAGTGGCAAAGCAGATCCCATCATGCGGCGAATACTTATTTAGTGCCCGGTTCTCGATTAGATAAGAAGTTGATTGGGACTGCGTATGGTACGGTTTGGTTGGGGACTGGGGGTAAATTACACCAACAGGGCAAGCGGTAAGGAAAAAACAGCTAAGCTTGAGAGCTCGAGTCGAGATCAACTTCTAGTGGTGAATCTTAGTAGTCATGTTTATTGTTCCCATTATCTATTCCACCCTTCCGCCGCCCGTCCTGATCCACTTCACTTACCCTCAGCACCACCGCCTCAACTGATAACCTCGGTGCTGCCAATCCTTTGCGCCAGGAGCTATTATGGCAGCTACACAAAAGCTATACCCCCGCGCGACCGTTAAACGCGTCGTCAAGGCGCACTCCAACCGCAGCGTGAGCAAGAATGCCGATATTCTGGTAAGCTGCGACCCTGAACCCTTGTTTATTACTATAATTGTTCACTCAAAAACTGACGTGCTCGTCTTTACTGCATAGATCTTCCTCGATTACATGCTGTTCATGCAAGAGTGAGTCGACGTCATTGTTTACGGGTTACAATCACCGGGCATCTGCACTCGTGGGGGATTGCTTGGGCGGAGTAATATGAAGCTAGTTGCTGACGTCTGCTTGTCTTTGTAGACTGATGCGGGAATCCTCAATTCAATCGCGCAAAGTGGGCGAAAAGAACATCTCCCCAAACAGTGTTCGGAAGGTGACTGAGGTATGTTTGCTTTGTTGGATTTCAAGGATAGCCTGTTATGATCTAGGCTGACTATGGATTTCCGGCGATTTAGAGAACCCTTCGGAAGTTTAAAGGATAAGCTTGTGCACCGTGTGCGGTTCGGCCTTCTTCTCCGGGCTCCTGGAGAGCATGTATGATGTCGCGATGGCCTTGTAGTGACGGGACTATACTATAACGAGATGGCATTGGACTTGGGGAAGGAATATCCGTAGGAGGTTGGCGTTTGCTCTGGGGTTTATCTTCTTTTGCGCACCTTGCCTCCCCCACGGGACAATGACTGATGGGACTTGGTCAGACGATGATGGGAGGTGTGCGCGGCGTTAATTAGGAATTGTTTGTGATGATACCCAATGATCATGGTGATCTAAAGCAGCAGGGATTGCCCCTGTTGAATATCAAACCTGTAATGCGTCTGAGACGCTCCTCCAACCACAGTTTCCTTTGTAGGCCATTGAGTTCACATTAAGCTGCGCGATCGTCCGAGCGTCGTTTTGGGGGCAAAAGTTGTTGGGCTGGCGGCGAACAGCACGCGACAAAGCAAAGGCGGCGCTGCGGTTCGGAAGCCTTCCACCCGCATCTTCGTCGTCTTTCGCTGTGTCTCTCGCTCTGTCACTTCTGCCGCCTTGGCTTCCTTTCCTCTTCTCTCTCTCTCTTCTCTCTTCCTACTCTTCTCCAGTTCCTTTCCCTCAACTTGCGCAAATACCCTTCTCCCTTTCCTCCTCTCCTCTTTATTTCTACATTACCTTTTTTCTTTGTCCTACTACCCCCCTTCTCTACCAAACAACTAGATTCCCTCCCAGCGTCTAGCATCTCACAACTCAGCTACAATGGCCGCCGCAGCTGTCAACACCAACCCTCCTCCACAGTCCGAGACCTCAGAGAAGCACAAGCCGAACCATGCTTCTAGCCCTTCGATCGCTTCCAAGGCAGAGGTCAACGGTTCCGATAACCATGAGCATCAACACTTCAAAGAACTTCAGAAGTGAGTCATCCGAGAAATCAGCCTCGGCGCTTCCCACCATTTGACCGGGGAAAAGAGACCAAGTCAGATAGGATGCTAATTACAGTGCTATAGGAGCCTGCGCAATGCTATGAAGAAGCTGGTTCGTTCACCCGACTCAAATTTAGGTCCCTGTACACCGCTCACATTTGCCCCATCCAGAATGCGACCGCTAAGGTTGACGCCATCATCGCCGAAAACCCTGGGAAGTCATTGGACGAGCTCGTCGCGGAGAAGAAGATCAACGTCGATCAGAAGGCTCAGGCCCTGAAGAAGCCTTCCCTCCAGGCCGCTGTTGCTCAGATCGAGGAACAGATTGCCCAGTTCAAGAGCTTCGCTGCCTATTACGAGGAACGCTTGGTCAGCCAGAAGGCTGAGCTGGAGCAGGCCCACAAGGAGCAGCTTGAAGCTGTTCAGAAGCAGGCCACCGAAGCTGCTAGCGGTGTTAGAGAGACGGAGCTCAGACAGAAGCTGCTTAACTTGAGCAAGTTCCTCTGTGCGGCTGCGCGGGTTAGAAACTCTGGAGACGAGACCTCGAATGAGAGCCGTGCCTTTGAGGGTGTCCTTTACCAGATCTACGGCGGTACTCAGGATGCTGTCTCTTCCATGCTCAAAATCATCGATGGCGTGGACGAGAAGGTGGTTGGCGTTGACAGCACTCTCCTCGATGTCACCTGTGAGCACTGCCGTCATCCCATGTATTTTGTTTTGCCTGTTGCTAACGATAATCTGTTGATCAGACGGAAGAGTAAAGCAGGCCGCTGCTGAGCTTGCTGGACCAACTGACGAGACCACCACCGCCACCACCGAGGCCGCACCTCAGTCGGACCCTACTATTGCCAACGCCGGTTACACCGAGCTCCAGGATTCTTCTTACAACACCGACGCTGCTGCTACCGTTGCTAACGAGTCCGCTACTGCCGCTGAGCCTGAGGCGGAACAGGTCCAGCCGCCTGCTCAGACTCTCGTTGGCGAGGGTGGTAACGCAGTCGCGGAGGCCAACTGGGATGCCAATGCTTCTGGTGTCTCCTCGGCCAACACCGAAGGCTGGGTTGAGGTCCCCCGGGACCCCGCCGAGACCGATACTGGCCTGGAGGCCACACCTGCAGCGGTGCAAGCTGAGGTAAAGACCAGCCCGGCTGCCGAGCAGGGCACCGAGAATGTTACTGTGCCGAAGGACGGCTTCGAGCAGGTACACCACCAGAGACAGCCTAGTGTTCGCGGACGTGGTCGTGGCGGACATGGCCGTGGACGTGGTGATGGTTTCCGGGGACGCGGACGCGGTGAGTTCCGTGGCCACGGTCGTGGTCGCGGCCGTGGTGGTCGGGGCCGTGGCGGAGCCAACGCCAATGGCAATGGCGCTCCCAGTGCCGCTCCTGCTGGAAACCAGTAAGCCAGTGCAGCTGGGAACAGGATCGATCCGTCGCCTGGCTTGGGGGTTGTGCTCCTCTGTGAGAAGTACATCTCAAGGCCGACGCGGTCCTGATGCTGGCTCCTTGCCTACTGAATGGCACTGGGCCTTGTCCATGCTACATCTTTACATCTTCCCCGCTTTTATTATTGCAGCCGTCGGGGCGTTGTGCTTTCCTTTGTCTATCCTCTCTCATACTAATAAACTCATGGGTAATGGCGGTGTCATGGTTGACGAAAGCAATGACTCTTGAAATGATTACAACACGGAGCTACGAGGGCGACACGCTGTCGATGAACCAGTCATCCGGTAGCATTGCTCGACGTTTCTTTTGGATTCTCTTCCCCAAGGTTCCGGTTGTATATGTTTGCAGTTATTGAGCGTGCATAATGTTGCTCTTTCATATCTTTTCTTTTACCTTGTCTTTCGAGCTGTGATGACTGCTTCCACGGGGCCATTGCATTCGGATGGTGGCGGCAAAGCTCGTCGTATTGGCCATCTACTATTCTTTTCCTGTATTTTATTCATTTGCATCTTATGTTGACATGGAGGGTTGCAGGCCAGGGCGGTTCGCAGCGACAGGAGCAGGGGAGAATGTCTGGCCGTTGACGGCCGGGACGAAGTTGCTAGGAATATAAGGTCAAAGTGCAGCTCGGCGGCAATGGAAGCCAGAGGCGCACTTACTTTTCCTCGCCAGATTGGACGAACCAGTATAAGACCATTGTAGATGCAAGTATGAATGTAAGCGAAATGAATAGATCAACTAGAATTGACCCGAAAAGGCAGCCAAGGCCGAGTCCCGCATCTGATAGGGCTCAGGGCTATGACATAATTGGCAGGTGCCTCGGAGGAGAAGATGCCATCGTGTTGTTGTTGTTCTTCTTCGACCTGCCTTTCTTATGTTGCTGAACGCTGCTATCCTTCGTTCCATTTCTGTTCCTCATGTTTAATTAAACCCCTTCTATTCGCTCTCTTCTTCCGCTCTTCTTTTCTCTCTCTTTCGTCTTGACCTTCTAGTGTTTCCCGCACCTCGCCGTCTCACCACTATGGCGGTCGCCGCAGACCAGCGGAAGAAGATCCTCAAGGTCTTGATGACCTCGTTGCTCTTGGATTTGGTATGTTTTGCTGCTGTTACTCTCGTTCTCATGATTTTCTTTCTCTAACCGTTGATCTAGATATCCTTTACGTTCATTCTACCTCTCTTCCCATCTCTCCTCTCCTTCTACCGCAACCAAGACCCCTCCCCAAACTCGCTGCTGAACCGCGTCTTCCACTATCTCAATGCCTACAAGAACTCCTTCGCAAAGCCCATCGACTCGCGCTATGATATTGTTCTCCTCGGTGGTGCTCTCGGATCTCTCTTCTCCTTTCTCCAGGCCCTAGCCGCCCCCTTTATCGGCCGTCTCTCCGACCAGCGCGGCCGCAAGACTGCCCTCCTCTACTCCATGGTTGGCAACACTCTCAGCGTCGCTCTCTGGGTCGCTGCTACCGATTTCCGCACCTTCCTGGCCAGTCGCATCGTCGGTGGTCTTAGTGAAGGGAATGTGCAGCTGGCCAACGCCATTGCAACCGACATCAGCGACCCCAGCCAGCGCGGCTCGACCATGGCCCTGGTGGGCGCCTGCTTCAGCATCGCCTTCACCTGCGGACCCGCCCTAGGAGCGTTTCTCTCGAACATCACCACTGTGGCAGCAAACCCCTTCGCGACCGCAGCCGGCGTCTCCCTTCTGCTCATTGTCGTCGAAACCGCATACATCTACTTCTGTCTGCCGGAAACCCACCCTCGTTTCACCAAGCTCACTCATACCTCTTCAACCACCACGTCTGCCTCGAAGGCCCCCACGTCCACATCCACCCCCACTCCCAAACGCAAACAACACACCAACAACCCCGCCATCCTCAACGCAATCCACTTCCTCTTCCTCCTCCCCTTCTCCGGCCTTGAGTTCTCCCTCCCCTTCCTAACCGCCACCTTCTACGCCGGCAGCCAAGCCAGCCCCTCCGCTCTAAATGGCCGCCTCCTCTCCATGATGGGTCTAATCGCCTCGCTCCTCCAAGGCACTGTCGTGCGCCGTCTGCCCCCACTCGTGACAGTCCGCGCCGGCGTCCTTGCCTGCACCGTATCCTTCTTTATGCTCGCGCGCGTTTCCTCCCTCTCCGGCCTTTACGCCGCCGGCAGCCTCCTCGCTATCACCAGCGCCACGGTCGTCACGGGCCTCAACAGCCTTGGTAGCTTCGAGGCACAGGAGTCAGACCGCGGTGCGGTCTTGGGTAGACTCCGTAGCTGGGGCCAGGTCGGGCGCGCGGCGGGACCGTTGCTCTTCTGTTCGTTGTTCTGGTGGGTTGGGCGCGAAATCGCCTACACCACGGGTGGAATCGCGATGGTCACCGTTTGCGTGGCTGTGTTCACGTGCTTGAAGTCGCCGAACATTCCTGCCAAGGCGTAGTTAAATGTCAGTCGATTTTTGTTGGATTGTTCGAAAATTCTGTGACGATAAAGATAGATTTATAGATTGAAGTCTTCTGTTGAGTGTACGTTATGCATCTTTGCGGTCTTATCAACATGATGTGCAATAGATCAGATAAGATTTACTATCTACTGGCTGTATCAGTGAGTAGTACTAGCAAAGTATATATCCACCATACATTACAGAATACAAAACATCTTCAATAGTAGTATAGTACTGGGTATAATACACATCGGAGAGGGGGTGGTAAGCGAAAGGATACATATTAATAACAAGACAAGGAGTGGAGAAGAGAGGAGAATAAATATGAACATCTAGAACTCCGAAGAGATCGCCACCAATTGATGAAACAAGCAAATCAGATAGCCAGCCACCGTGAACAAACAAAATCAGAGTATTTGAACACAATTTTGAGATCGTGTAATACCTTTTCTCTTCATACCGCCTCGCAACTGCCTCTATGGTTTGTTCGCCTCGGTAATGGGAGTAGAAGAGAGTCTCAAAGAGTGGAGTATTGAATAAGCAAATGGAAACCAACATGGCCATATACCCATATCAGTAATATCGGAGGGGTAAAAACGAGGCCTGAGGGCCTACGATCACCGACCATGAGGATAATAATGTTGTTCATGATGGTACCGATCCCTATCGAGGTACTCCTGCGCATCCTGCCAATGACAGCCCTGCATAGCTAGCCCCGGCTCTGCAGCAGGGTCAAGCGATCCTCTCGCCTTGCCGATCAACCAATCAGTCAGAGTCACGAACTTGGGCGTGCGATTCCATCCGCGCGCATCATCCGCATGTTCGATCGTATGCGACGCGATTCGACCTTCCTCGTCGAAGGAGAAGATAAACAGGCCCGTGAACTGCTCTTCCTTCTTCAACTTGAAGATCGGAGCGTCCCCGCCCAGCAGGACGCTAAGGCCTTTGTTGATCCCGGCTTTCGAAGATGAGAGGTGACTGCCATTACTCTTGTTGGTGCCTTGGGTATCACTTGGTAGCGTGGGAGATGCGGCGGTGAAGGATGTGCTGGAATGTTCCGAGTTGGAGGAAGTGGATTCGCTCCGCGGCTCGGTTCGCCAACGCACGACGAGACGCTCGTCGCTGGTATCGTGGTCGTTGTCCGGTCGTTCAGGTTCGAGGACCGTTCCTGCGCGGACGATACGCTCACTGAGGATTTGGAGCTTCACATTTCCTAGTAGGGGGAGGCTGCTCCATGCTACTGGGACAGTCCAGAGTGCGGCGCGGTAGAGGGTTCGGCCCTTGACGGTGGGGAGATGTGGGTGCGTCGAGGGAAAGAGGTGCAGGGCTATGCTGGGGGAGAGGATGTTCGGGGGTAGCGGGTTGATGAGAAGGGTGGGGAGGAGAGGCGAGAGGATGCGGAGAGCTGTGGGAGGTTGGCTAGGTCAGCACCGGGTCCATTCTGTAGGATTTCCTGTTGGGGAGCACTCACTCTTTCCAAGCTTCAGAATGCGCTCGTCGGGAGGTTCATGATCTCGATTCGAGCCCCCGTCAAGAGGATCCGATACAGATGGCCGGAAACCAGTTTGCGAGAAAAGTGTCGGAGACTCGCGGGTCAACTGCGGGCCATGTAGGATATCGGGTCGTGGCTGGGCCAGAGTCCGCGGGGAAGGAGAGACGAAGTATTGTTCTCGGGAGACAGGCGGTTTTATCGGAGAGGGCGTTGTAGGAGGTAGTAGACGACGTCGGAGAGCGCGTGGCGCAGGGCCAGAGACCAGCTTCGGCGGCATTCCCGGAGGTTCACCCAGGGAGTTTGTGTTGGGAACAGATCAATGCATGCCTTGCGGGATGGCAGCGGAGGGGTTGGGTCAAGTCATAAGCTGACAGATGCATGAGACAGCAAGTGCAGAGGGAAGATGGAGTGAGGATGGAAGGAAGTCGAAAAGTAATGGAAATGGCATCGAAATGCAAATGAAGTTCAATCGAAAGTAAGCGGAAGATGACGTCGGCCCGCCCCGTCGCAGCCTGAGGCAACACAGGAATATAGATCGAACGAAGAAAACGAAGAGCAAGAATGCAAAACTCCGTGCATTTGGTATCTATTTACATCCGTAGCATATGATCAAATTGCTTTCTCATGCCAATTCATCATCATCATCTGCCCCCATGTACCGTCGCTCTGCCAGCTCGCGGATTTTGTCCTCCAACACGCCTCGTCCATAACGCTGCGCAACCTTAACAGCTGCCTCCACCATCTTGCCATTGCGGTCGCGCATCATCTGCACCAATTCCAGAGCCTTCATACCTCGCTCTTCACCCTCGCGACATTCCACCGCCAGTAGCTGCAGCAAGAACTTGTCCACTTCCAGCTCCTTCCGCGCCAACTCTGCTCGCTGGCCGGTAGTGGCGTTGGTAGATCCCAGGAGGTCCTCAAACAGCGACAGCATGATGTTGCTGCGAACAAACGCTTCCTCAAGCCGTGCCCCCTCCCCACGTGTGTTGCCTTCTTCCTCATCTTCATCCGGCCCCTTTCCAGGCGTGTCGGTGATGGGGACGCGGAAGTCGAATTCACTCAGCAAAGGCCTGGGGAAGTACGGGTATTTATCCCCTCCCTTGAGAATGATGCAGTGGAACTTGTCTTGAGCCACGGCAACGGGCCAGTAAGACTCCTCCTTGCGGCCGCTCGCGAGACGCTCGAGCTGTCTCGTATCCAGCAGCGGTACCCAGCGAGCTTGCCCGTTTGTGCGCCAGTGTTGCAGGATGAGCAGAACGCCTTCAGAGTCATAGATACACGGGTCCTACAGACAGTCATTAGCACATCAAA